ACCTTTAGTACAATGAAATAACATATACCCTACACTTCAGTGGGAACACAGACCAGATGCCTGCTTAGAGATGTAAACAATGATACCAGGGTGCCTGCTATACACAGAGACAGACAATCATTCTGGTATTCTTAACAGTTACAACATCCTTTGAGAATATAGTCTTGCCAGAAACCCAAGCTCACTGCCCTTTGTGTGTGAGCACAGCAAGATGGATCTGTGTGTTGCATCGCTCTGATGGTCTAAGGCACACCATTCAATGGAGGAAATTCATACTCTCGTCTCTGACCCAGTCGTGTCTATGGAACCCTGCTTAAGCTGTGTGCTCTCCAAGCTCTCCAAAAAGACTTCATCCACTCTGATATTTCTGCCTAATTCCAAGCACCATTGCTTTCCCGTGATAACAGTAATTAATACCCAAAGGAGGGGGGTTCTTGAAAAGTGCAGAGAGTCAGAAAGTCTCGTCAGACACTCGAGGGTTTTCCTGTTGTGTCCCTGTCCCTCACGTGACTCCCAATCTTGACTGAAACCCATCCCAGGGGCCCGGGATCATATACTTAGTAGTGTGGTACACAAGACATGACAGTGACTGGAACTCTATTATTAAAGAGAGATTAAACAGCTGTACATTATGCTGAAGCACTCGCTCTTCCCTCCACAAACAGACGGTCCTGGATTACAAGCAGCACTTGACCGTTTAAATCACGACAGCCACCACATTTAACCAGCTGGGCCATATTCTCCTAGCGCTGCCTGTTGACCTCCTCAGTCGCAGCTGCTCAAATGAAATTCTCATTAGACAACTTATTTTCAGAAGCCAAAGGACTCTCTGATTAAATATATGTATTTAGATATAGAAGTCCTTTTTAAGTATTCATTTTCTGACAACTGTCGCTTATGTTAGGACCCAGTTACGCTGGCAACAAGATGGGTGACCCAAGGATAAGGAGAATTCATCATTTAATCACAGCTGAAGGATCTTTATCTTGGAAGCATTCTAACCTGACTCTATTAATCAAAGCCTTTCTGTGTGCACTACCCAGCAGTAGCAATAGGCTTTTAAAAATAAGCTTCTGATTCATTCAGCCCACCCCTGTGTCTATCTTCTCACCCTTTCCCTACCTACCACTTACCTATTTGTCTACTTATGACACTAAATCAAAGTTAAATTCACAAAAGGTGGAACCTCTGTTCATCTTCCCATCAGCTTCACTGTTGGGGGGGTGCTTCTGACAAAATGTTATTGTTCATCAGATTCTCTGCAATCTAGTCAGAACAAGGCTCAGGGAGAACAGTAATACAGTGAACCTGTATTACTCTATTTCAGGCCTCTGCCTGGAACACTGCTGTTTTATCATATAAGCAATGCTTTAAAATGAACAGGGATAAACTTCATAGAGATGAGCTTTCTTCACTAAGAGAAATGAGAAGCAAGGTGCTTTTAATTTGATAAAGAGTCGAAGCATTCTCTGAGAATAACTCCAGAAAGATCTTCATTTATTGTGTAATCCATACAGGCTTGTCAATCAGCTGATCCTAAAATATGACCCTCAAACCATGAAGGAGACGTAAGGTAGAAACAGATGACACATGTGAAAAGCTCTTACACGCCCCGTAAGTTGGCATGTCTCATCTGAGGGACTGGACCCGAGTCTTTAAAGAGCCAAGGTCAAGCAGAAGCTGGGATAACTGTTTAACCTCCAGAGACCTATGCTATAATCATTTTAGAATCAGAAAATAAAACCTACATTTTAATAATCTTTCTATATTTCTTTGTTCTCCCAGTACATCATTCTATTCTACTACCAGAAGATAACTGGAATTGGTATTCAGGACTGAAGAGGTGACTGAGTGGATATAGCACTGACTGTAAGAGTGCTAAGACATGAGTTCACAATCCTGGCATATAACGATGGACATAGTGGTGGACATTTATAATCCCAGCATGCCTATGCAACCAGAGAGGACGAGATGGGACAGTTCTTGGTAGTTTGTAGGGCAGTTAGCCTGATATACACAGGGACAATCAACAAGAAATGCTACCTGCAATAGGGTGCAAAGTCAGGACTGACACTTAAAGTTGCCCTCTGACCTTCCCAAAGTCACTAAGGAAGGTATGTTGTATAAAGATACTTGGGTATGTGCGTACACACACACACACACACACACACACACACACACACACACACACACA